GCCCTCGCCGACCCTTCCCCTCGCGTCGGCGCCGCGGCGCTCGGCGCGTCGTCCCAGACTGTCCTCCAGGGCGGCGCAGCGGTGCGGCCGGCGGCGGCCGAGCTGATCTCCCTCTCGTGCGAATTTATCCGCGACGACGCGTGCGCCGCACACCGACGCGCCGGGCTCGCGGCGCTGTCCAGGCTCGTCCGCGCGACGGCGGACGCGCGCGCGCCCTACTTGCGCGAGCCGGGGCTGCTGTCGCGCCTCCTCTTTCTGCTCCGGATGGAGCGGCACGCCGGCACGCGCCTCGAGCTGCTGCGGCTTCTCGGTGCCCTCGGCGCCTACGACCCCTTCATCGAGTCGCAGGAAGCTCTCGAGCGCCACCGGTGCGGCCTCCCCGAGACGCCTCCCGGAGACGCCTCCTGGCCGCCGCTCCGAGGCCGAGCCGCTCGGCGGTGCACACAGGCGCGCCGCAACGGCGGCCCCGATCGGCGACGGGGAGGAGGTGGAGCGCTGGGCGGCGCAGGGGCGGGACGACCACCAGCTGGTCGAGCTGCCGCTCGCCGTGGCGGCCGCGGACTGGGCCGTCGGCAGCGGGCCCTCTTCGTCCGACAGCGACGGGTGGGTCGCCGCAGACGTCGGCAGCTTAGGCTTCTACCACAGCCTCGCCTTGCGGCACATCTCGCGCCGGCTCGACGACTCCACCTTCATACCCGCGCGCCGCGAGGTGCTGCCCGCTCTATGCACCCTCCTCTGCGGCTTGCGCTCCGCGCGCGCGGCGCCACACTTGCGCATCGTGCTGCCGCTGCTGTGTGGCGCCTTCTCGACCGCCGACGCGAGGCTGCGCGCCGCCATCCTCCAGCACCTCAGCTCCCTCACCGCCTCGTGCGGCGAGGCCATGGCACGGCACACGCCTCGGCTGATGGATCTCGTGTGCCTTCACTGGACGGACCACTGGGCCGCCGACCACTCGGGCGCACCGGCGCCGGTGGCGCGGGCCGCGGATGCGCCGCCGCTTCCGAGTGAGTCTCTCTTGCCGCCCTCGCCCGCTGGCTCGCCGTCCGGCAGCGCCAGCAGCAGCAGCTACTTTCGCGGCAGCTTGTGGCTGCTCAGGCAGTCCTTTAGTGGCCAAGTTGGCCAGGCAGCGGACGGCATCCCGGGCGGGGCGGGCGGCGGCGGCGCTGACGCTGGCGGCGGCGGCGGGGTTGGCGGTGGCGGCGGCGCCGACCGCGCCGGCTTGTGGAGCGGGACGCTCGTGGCCGAGGTTGCCAAGGCTGGCGGGGGAGCGCTCTTCGAGTCGTACCTCCCTCGGCTGCTGCCGCCGCTACTGCGCGCGCTCCACGCGGAGCACTCTGCGGGCCAGGAATGGGGAGCTGCTGCGCTGCGGCTCCTCGGCGCGCTCAGCCTCAGCGGCGGGCTCGCCGGGTCCCTCCATCCGTGCCTGCACCTCGCCCTGCCCGCGCTGTCCGAGTTGGCGGACGCCCCCGACGCGCCGCTCGGCTTGCGCGAGGACGCGCTCGCCCTGCTCGCCTCGCTGCTCACCGACCAGCCGCGCGCCACCGTCGAGCCGCTCGCGGCGTGCGTGGTGCACGCGCAGCTGCGATTGCTCGCCGCGGTGACCCGCCGCGGGCGTGTGTGCGCGCCGACTGCCGCGCCCAGAGGAGCCGCGGAGCTGTAGGCGCCCGCCGGCTCGAGCCTCGCCGCCCTCGCGGTCGGCGTCCTCCACTCGCTCGTGTACGCCCTCGGCGAGGCGCCTCTCTCCCTCGAGCGCATGGTGCGGCAGGCGGTGCAGCCGCACGACCTCGGCCGCCCGGTGACGCCCCCCCCCCCCCCCCGGGGCGCGCGGGCTCCGCACACACGTCCCAATGGCACACATGCACATGCACATGTACATGTTGTACATGTGACATGTCCCAATGCCCACACACGTCCCAATGCCACACACGTCCCAATGCCACACACGTCCCAATGCCACACACGTCCCAATGCCCACACACGTCCCAATGCCCACACACGTCCCAATGCCACACACGTCCCAATGCCACACACGTCCCAATGCCACACACGTCCCAATGCCACACACGTCCCAATGCCACACACGTCCCAATGCCACACACGTCCCAATGCCACACACGTCCCAATGCCACACACGTCCCAATGCCACACACGTCCCAATGCCACACACGTCCCAATGCCACACACGTCCCCATGCCTACGCGCGGAGCTCCACCCTCTCGCCGCCGCCTCGCCGCCCCCTCTCCCACGCCTCGCCGCCCTCGCGCCTTAGCTCGAGGCGCTCCTCTCGGCCATCGCCGCCGGGGCGGACTACCGCGACGATCCCGCGCTCGCGCCGCCCACGACGAAGCGAGGCTCGCCGTCCGCCGCCCCTTCGGCGGGGCGCGCCTTCCTGCTCCACCACGAGTCTCGCCGCAACGGCGATGCCGCCGCGTGGCCTGCGCCGGCGCCGCCCAACTTTGGCGCCGCCGCCGCGCTGGGCCGGCGTTTCCCGATGGACGCTCGTTCGCTCGCGGCGGCGTGGGACACGCGGCAGCGTTCGACCGCGGAGGATTGGGCCGAGTGGTTCCGCGCTTTCGCGCTCGCGACGCTGCGCGAGTCGCCGTCGCCAGCGCTGCGCTGCCTCTCGGCGCTCGCGGAGCGGGTGTGTGCACTCTCGGCCCGAGAGAGCGGGACCTCGCCCGGAGAGCAGGACGGCGGAGGGCGCGCTCTTGGCGGCGGTCACGTGCGTGTCTCGAGCAGGTGCCGAGCCTCGCCTTCGACCTGTTCGACGCGTCGCTATACGCTTGCTGGGAGGAGCTCGCCTCGACTGCGACGGGGGAGGCGGCCGAGAGCAGCAGCGCGCTCGCCGCGGCGCTCCAGGCCGCGATGGAGGCCGAGTCGATGCCCACCGCGCTGCTTGGGCGGCTGCTCTCGGCGGCCGACTTCTGTGAGCGGGCGGGCACGCCCCTTGACATCTCGTGGCGCACGCTCGGCGCGCTCGCGCAGCGCGGCTCGGCGTGGGCAAAGGCGCTGCGCTACCGAGAGAGCGAGTGGGAGTGGGCGCACCCCTCTTGCGTCGCGCCGGAGGTGGTGGCGATCCACATGGCGCTGGACAAGCGCGAGGAGGCGCGCGGCGTGCTGCACGCTGCGAGGGAGAGAGAGGCCGCCGCGGGCAGGATGGCAGGCTCCGCGCGGGGCGCGTGGGGGGGGCGGGGGGGGCCGAGGTCGCGGCTGCTGACGATGCCCGCCGAGCTCACGGTCGCGGTCGACGCCGACAACGCGCACCTGCGCGAGCAGCTGCACGACTGGAAAGAGGCGCTGGGGCTGTACGAGGCGCGCGAGGCGCCGGGCGACGCCGCGCCGCTCGACAGGCCCGCAACGCTGCGCAGCACGATCGCAAGTGGCCACGAGAGTCGCACTCACCCCGTCCGCGCCTCCGCCGTAGCCTCGGCCGCATGCGCTGCCACGCGGCGCTGGGCGAGTGGGAGGCGGTGCGGCGCCTCTCGGACAAGCTCGCCGAGCAGCGCGCCGTCCTCGCGCCGGGGGAGGTGGCCGAGCTGGCGCGGCTCGGTGCGGCTGCCGCGCTAGACTTGGCGTCTCACGCCACCGCGGGAAACGAGCGCCACTGGGCCGCGCTCGGGAGGCACGCGGCGCTGCTCCCGGCACGCTCGTTCGACGGCGCCTTCTCGCGCGCCGTGCTCGCTCTGCACGGCGGCGACTGGAGCGGCGCGCAGGCCTACATCGACGCGGCACGCGGCGTGATCGACGCCGAGGTGACGGGGCTCGTCGGCGAGTCTTACGCGCGCGCGTACAACGGGATGGTGCGGCTGCAGCGCCTCTCTGAGCTGGAGGAGGTCCTCCTGAACGCCACTTCGCCGACCACGCTCCCGCGCGCGCGCCTCCTCGAGCTGTGGCGCGGCCGGCTCGGCCACGCCGCCGCCGACCTCTCCGCCTGGCGTGAGCTCCTCCCCGTCCGAGCCTTGGCCGTGCCGCCGCGGCACGACCCGCACGGCATGATCGCCTTTGCCCAGCTCTGCTCGCGCAACGGGCAGCACACGCTCGCCTTCGAGGCGCTGCGGCACGCCGAGCCGCGAGCAGCCGCCAGCTGGGGCGACGCGCCGGACATGCAGCCTGACGTCTGGCTGGCCTACACCGTCGCGATGTGGGAGAGCGGCGAGGGAGGCGCGCGCGACGACGCGCTGTCACGGCTGCGCGGCTACCTGCGCGAGCGGGGCGGCCCGCTCGGGCCCGCGGATCCGCGCAGCGCGACGGAGCGGTGCCTCGCCGCCAGCGGCTGGGTGCACCTCGGCGAGTGGACCCTCGCCAGCGCGGCGCCCGCCGCTGGCGAGGCGAGCTTGCTCGAGCACTTTCGCCGAGCGGCCGAGCTGGACCCGGCTTCGTGCGCGGCGTGGCACAACCTGGCGATGGTGCACTTTGACCACGTGCGGTGCACATGCTGGCGGAGCGAGGACGAGTTGGGCGAGCACCATCGCCACCACCCCGACCCGGGCGCCACGGACACCGAAGAGCGCGTCGTCGCTGCCCTCGAGTGCCTCTTCCGCTGCATCAGCCTCCGGCCGAGCTCCTCTCCCACCGGCCACACGCAGCAGGACATCCTCACCCTCCTCACCCTCGCCTTTGAGCACGGGGAGACGGAGGGCGCCGCGGCGGCGCTGTCGCGCGGGCTGGCCGATACGCCCGCAGAGACGTGGCTCGCCGTCGTCCCGCAGGTCATCGCGCGCCTCGGCTCGGAGAGCGAGCGCGTGCGGACGTTTGTGCTCTCGCTGCTCTCGACACTCGCCGAGCGCCACCCGCAGGGGCTGGTGTACCCGCTCACCGTCGCCGCGACCTCGCCGCTGCGAGCTCAGGCGACGGGCGCCGCGCACGTCCTCGCGCACCTGCGGCGCGGCCGCGACGTCCTCGTCGAGCAGGCGCAGCTCGTCGCCGCGGAGCTCGTGCGGGCGTCGTGCCTGTGGAGCGAGGCGTGGATCGACGGCCTCGAGACGGCGTCCAAGGCCTTCTACACCGAGGGCGACGACGCCGGCTGCGTGCGCGCGTTGCTGCCGCTGCACGAGGCGCTCGAGCGCGGCGCGCAGACTCCCGCCGAGGGGGCTTTTGTGAGGGAGTTTGGAGGCGCGCTCGACGCTGCGCGCGCCGAGCTGCGCCAGTGGCAAGAGTCCGGTGAGCGGGCCCACCTGCATTCGGCGTGGGCGCTGTACATGGGCCTCTTTCGGGCGGTCTCGCCGCGACAGGCGGCGCTCACGTCGCTCGACCTCGCCTCCGTCTCTCCCCGCCTGCTCGGCGCCACCGCCCTCGAGCTGGCGGTCCCGGGCACCTACGAGCCGCAGGCGCCGCTCGTCACCATCTCCGGCTTCCGGCCGCGGCTGTCGGTCATCGCGTCCAAGCAGCGGCCGCGGCGGGTGATGCTGGCGGGCGACGACGGGCGCGAGTACTCCTTCCTGCTCAAGGGGCGCGAGGACCTGCGGCAGGACGAGCGCGTCATGCAGCTCTTCGGCCTCGTCAACCGGCTGCTCGGCTCCACCGCGCCGCTCGCCGGCCCCGCCATCCGGCGCTACGCCGTGGTCCCGCTCTCTCCGGCGTCGGGCCTGATTGGGTGGGTGCCCTCGTGCGACACGCTGCACCAGCTCGTGCGCCACCACCGCGAGTACCGCGGCGTGCCGCTCTACCTTGAGCATCGCATCGCCGCGCAGCTCGCGCCCGAGCCCAAGCGAGGCGGCGACGGCGGCGACGGCGGCGGCGGCTTGGCGGAGGGCGGCGAGCTGAGAGCGTACAATGCGCTCCCGTTGCTGCACCGCGTCGAGGTGTTTGCGGCCGCGCTCTCGAGGACAGGCGGCCGCGACCTCGCCGAGGCGCTCTGGCTCCGCTCGCCGTCGGCCGAGTGGTGGCTCGAACGGCGGTCGAGCTACACGCGGTCGGTCGGGGTCATGTGCGTGGTCGGGTACATCCTCGGCTTGGGCGACCGGCACCTCAACAACATGCTGCTCGACCGCGTCTCGGGCGAGGTGGTGCACATCGACTATGGCGACTGCTTCGAGGCGGCCGCGCTGCGCCCCAGGTTCCCCGAGACGGTGCCTTTCCGGCTGACCCGCATGCTCGTCACGGCGATGGGCGTGGCCGGCGTCGACGGCGTCTACCGCTCGACGTGCGAGGGCGCTATGCGCGCGTTGCGCCGCCACCGCTCGTCGGTGCTCGCGATGCTGGAGGCATTCCTCTACGACCCGCTCGTCCACTGGAACCTCGACGGCGCGGAGCGAGGGAGCGCCAAGCGCGTCAGCAGCCGCGCCTCTCTCGACGGCGGAGAGGCCCGGGGAGGGGCGGCGCGCGGCGACAAGGTGATGCACGCGCAGGCTCTGCGCGTGCTGCGCCGCGTCAAGTCGAAGCTCGACGGCTCCGAGTTTGGCGCGGCGCCCATCGACGTCCCGACGCAAGTCGACCGGCTCGTGCACGAGGCGCAGGCGCACACCAACCTCGCGCAAATGTGGGGCGGCTGGAACCCGTTTTGGTGAGAGCGTTACTCTCGCTCTCGTACTGTCTTCCTGTGGGTGTATCTCTCGCTATACGTCGCGAGTGTCGTACTTACTCTTGCTTTGACCTTTGTGAAGTTCAGTTTGCGATCGAATGCCGATGGCCAAAATATGGTCTACCGAGAGATTGTGGCGAGTGTGCACACAGACACGTTCGCTGTTGGTCGCGCTGAAATCAAAGAAAGAAAATCGCGCGGGCGGACCACCGCATTTTACGCAGTGCCAGTGCGCAGTGGGTGCGCGCGCCAGTGCGCGCCAGTGCGCGCCAGTCCCGTGCGTGTGCCTTGACTGCCCCCCTAGCGCCAGGGGCACTTAAAGCACTTGGAGTGCACAGTTTCCAGTATCAACCCACAACCGCACGCCCAAAAAAGAAAGAAAGAAAACGGACAACCCAAGGGAGGGATGGGAGGACGGCACGCCGCCACCACACAGGGATTTTAAGGAGAGGGGTGTGATGCGCTAGCCGTCGCCCACCCTTGGGCGTCCGCCTCTTCCTATCTCTCTTCGCAGTCTCTCGCAGATTCTCGCTGCGACCTTCATGCCACCTCGCGGACGCCCCCTTCTCGTCGTTCTTTCCCTTGTCTCTTCTTCTTCTGTCGCGTCGCTCTCCTCTGCTTCGTTCTGCGGCGCCGCCGCCTCCTGCCGGTCCCTTGCTCTACCGCACGCCCAGGCGCCCGCCAGCCGCGCACGCAGTAAATTCTCTTTGCAGGCGCCAAAAAGGGACAGGCACACGGCCCCGCCCACCCGCGGGGTACTCCAGGGCGCTGAGAGCGCCGCTCTCCGCGCGAGCTTGGATGGGCTCGGCGCCGAACGGAGGTGTGTACACCCTCTCACCTCTGGACGTGCTCGCGCTGGTGTCTGCGGTCTACCTAGCTGCCAGTTTGGTGCGCGCTGTCGTGCGGCGCTTGACGCCCAACGCACCTCTACCGCCGAGGCGAAAGGCTGGATGAACTCCGGTGCCCGGTGCGAGAGGCCTTTGCGTCGCCTCTCTGGCGGACCGCTCTCGAGCTCGAACTCCCGACATCCCACCGGACCGCCGACTTCTCTTTCATGCGACACTCTCCCGCCCTTCCGTGTGCATGCGCATGACTTCTGAAGGATAAAACAATTAAGCTGTCCTTCCCTGGGCTGTGTGCCGCCATGCAATGGCGCAACAGCCGCCCGCAGCTTGTCCTACCCTGCGCGCGCAATCGCGCGCACACACGTCTCGGGACGGGTCTCGTACCCTTACGACATACGTACGGCGCGCGCGCGCGCGCGCGCGAGGCGTCGCACCGCCACGCTAGCAGCAGCCGGGCCAGTCGCGGCGGCCGTCTCGACTCGAGTCGTCGAGCTTAACGCCGCGGGAGGCGGGCCGGCTCTCGGGGTCGACGCTCGCCGCGACGGCGGCAAATAGCTCCGCAACGTTCATCCCGTCCCTCGCGCTCACCTCCAGATAGCTCGCGCCGTTGGCTGCCGCCACGGCCTTGGCATCCTGCGTCTTGACCTGCCGCGCCTTTGGGCAGAGGTCGCGCTTCGAGCCCGCGAGCGTGAGCGACAGGCCCGGCTGCTCGGGCAACTCGGCCCGCAGCTCATCGATCCAGCGCTGCGCACCGTCGAGCGAGGCGCGGTTGCTGAGGTCGAAGAGCACCACGGCCGCGTCTGAGCCGCGGAAGTACTGGCGCGCAAAGGCGCGGTACTTCTCCTGCCCGGCCGTGTCCCAGATGTGCAGCTCGACCACGCGGCCGCTCGGCAGCTCCACAGTGTGCGGGCAAAAGGCGCAGCCGATCGTGGCGGTCGCGCCCTCACTAAAGGTGGCGTTCTGGGCGCGGTGCAGCAGACTCGTCTTCCCCACGCCCGAGTCGCCGAGCAGGATCACCTTCTTGGGACCTGCCGCGTGTGGCGAGCGGGCGCGCTGGAGCGGGCGTGGCGGCGGGTGGTGGGAGTGGCGAGCGGGCGAGACTGACCCCGTGCCTCGGCTAGACAGAGCCCCGGCTGCGCGCGATCGTACTCTCCGATGGCGTTCCTCAGCGCGTGGTTGCGCGTGAGCGCCTTTGAGTGAAGCTGCTCGCCCGTGAGGGGTGATAGGTTGCTGTGCTGCAGCCAATGCTCGATCGCGCGGCGCTCGTAGGACTGGCCGTCCGAGGTTGAGACGGGGTCCCGCATCACCTCGTGTGTGATCGGGCACAGGAAGGACGTGGGCACTTTGGACGGCGGCATGATGCCGGCGGCCTGGTACCGCAGCCACGCGTGAGATAACGGCCAAAAGCGCCCAAAAAATATGTCCGCCCCGCGCGAGCAGGGAAGAGGACCCCCGTGTAGTGAGAGACTGCCGGTGAGAAGCCGGAGGAAGGTCGCTAGACTGAGATGAGACCGCCAGTGGATGTGGGAGTCCACCGCGCACCGCGCTGCGAGCCTGTCGTGTCCCTTGTCAGGAGCAGGAGAGCCCCACCTGAAACTCACCTGTCCCCCTGATCGTCCTTCCAAAATCCTGCTCGTGCAGGTGGGGACCTTGTCCTCGTCCCATCCCTCGTTTGGCGTGTCTGTTTTCTTTCTTTCTTTTTTAAGAGGACCCCCGCAAGCGGCGTGGCGTGGAGCGGTTGAGCATCCCTCCGGGGGCCCCTCTGCGCCGGGGAGGCGTTGTTGGAGGCTACAGTGGGTTGCGGGCATTAAGAAAACAGGATTCTGCGGCACGCCGCCGTTTCTAAGCCTTTCCACAGCCCTCATCCACCCCACACGCCGTGGTTTCTTAGCTCCGGGCGGGGCACTCAATCAAGCCAGAGCGCCGGCCCGAAGGATTTTTAGGTAAGAAGAGTGTTAAAGCTCGGTCCGCGAGGGCGATGCCAAGAGTCTGCCGCCGAGTCGGCTCTCTGGATGAGGGGAAGACGCACACACGCCTCCATCCACTGACCACTCCACTCAGAACACCGCAGACTTGAAAAGTGACAAGTGCGCTGCCGCAGGCCCAGGCGAAGAGAAATTTTGAGCTGCAGCTGGGGCTCCGGACCCGTTCACACTCGTGTCTGGCCTTTTCTCGGGGCCGCGCCTGCGGCGCCCCGTGGTTTCTTAGATTTTTGCGGAAATCGCTTGGTAGGGTTTCTTAATGCGACGTTTTCTTAATGCCCGCAACCCACTGTAGGACGCAAGCGTCCGTCGCCCTTTTTCAAACTCGGGGCCCACTCCGCTACGCTCCGACCCGACGATTTGGAGGGCCTAAAAGTTTAAGGTGTTGCTGCGCAAAAGGGGTCGGACACAGGGCGCAGCTCATGCTAAGAGCTAGAAGGGGAGATAGAGAGAACAACCACCCTGTCCCGTTATTGCGTACACCAACACCACAAAAGCTCTCTCTCTCTCCTGTCCTCACTCAGAGCACAGAGGGGGGTCACAACTACCGAGTCTCTCGACTAGCTGCCACGTTGCCGACCGAGAGCGGATCTCCTCCTGCTCCGCAAGGAGGGTGGCCAAGGCTAAAGTCTTGTCGGAGCCGCCGGGCGTGTTGACGACTTGGAGAAGGTCGCCCTTGTGCTTGTGCTTGTAGAGATGCTCGAGGGGGTGCTTTGTGGGGCGGTGCGCAGCCAGGCCAGCAGTGAGGGGAGGCGCACCCTCACTCTCCTCGGTTGCAGAGCTCGTCGCGTCACGACGGGAGGGTCGCGACAGCAGTCCTCGGGCGAGCCGACGCGCATGTCCAACCAGCGCTGGGACTCGTTGTGACGGCAGACGCCGGCTGCCTCTCCAACCGCTTCTGCAGCGTCCTTCTTTGCCCGTGCATGGGCTCGATCCGATTCCGCAGCGTGTCGTCCCCAGCGGCGGTGCTGCGCGGGAGGCGGTCGCGGGCACGCTGGGCTCGATCAGCTTTCCCTAGCACGGATTTGGCGGACGTTCTTGGCTTCAATTTTACGGATGTGGCACCAGCTGAAGGCTTGCCCCCGTCCACGGCCCACATCGCCGGATTCGTGCACGGGATTCGGATTTTGCTATTTGTTCGTGTGGGGGTATATCGCAGATTTGTCAATGGTACCGCGTCTGCGACGCGGGCGCCTTGCGGGCAGAGCCCTTAGCCAGAGCGTCGCCGAGCCCGGCGTGCCCGCCCGCACGCCCGCGGCCGCAGGTAAGGAAGGCGAGTTTCCTGGAGTCTATGACAAGCGCGCACATGCCAAAAGACACCTCGCAGCGCACGTGGCGTGACCGAAGCGGCACGTCTCGGCGCCGCGAGAGCAGCCGGTCGACGTCGGCACCAAGCGCGCGGCCGCCGGGCGCATTCGCACCGACAGGGGCGCCGCGGCAGTAGAGAGCACTCCACCGCCCTACTGTGAACGCGATACCTACCCAAACAGTGCCCGAACCCCGTTGGCGTTTGCTGGGCCAATGGGAGTCTGCTTGCGTCGTAGAGAGTGGACAATGAAGTCATTGTCGCTCTGCGTGCTCTTCCTAGTCACCGTGACCCGGAGCGCCGCGGATGCGGAGCCCGCAGCTCGGCCGGAGCCGCACGTGCGCCGGCCGCGCAGCGAGTCTGCGTCGCCGTCCGCGCCTCCCTCTCCGCCGCCGGGCGGGCGGCCGCGCTCGCCTGGTACGCGCGGCGCGGCCCTCAACGCGATGCAGGCGCGGCTGCAGCGCTGGGCGACGTCGCGGCAGGCGCGGCACCTCGCCAATGTCGCAAACAGCGCGCTGCTGCTGCTCACCTTTCCGGCGTCGCTGCGGGGCGGCCTGCTCTCTGGCCTCGCGCTGCACCGGCTGCTGACCTCGGCGTGGGTGTCTGGCTTCGGCGGGATGCTGCTCATGCGGGAGCTCTCCATCCCTCCCGTGCGGCGCTGGCTCAACCAGCACTTCCACTTCCTCTCGACCACCTCCGGCTCCACCGCCTTCCTCATGTGACCGCCCGCCCGCACGCGCCGCTGGAAGGGGGAGGCGCCCGCCCGCCGCCCACCCACCGCCCCGCCCGACCCACCCAGGTGCGCCGCGACGATGGCCCTCGCCAGCGGGCCGGTCGGCGTCGTCGCAGGCGCCGCCACGCTCGCAAACGCCTGGTATGGCGCGTACCTCCGCCGGCTCCGGCGGCGGCGGCGGCCGGCCGTCGTCGTGAGCACGCACAACCTGCCTGCGCCGTCCGCGCCGGCGCCCAGCGCCGAGGCGTGCGGCGACGACGAGCTTGCCGAGCAGGCCGACGAGCGGGACGGCGCCGAGGGGGCGGAGGCGGAGAGGGCGGCGGAGGCGGCGAGGGCGGAGAGGGAGGAGGCGGAGAGGGCGGCGGCGGAGCGAGAGGCGGCGGAGCGGGCGGAGGCGGAGGCGGCGGCGGCGGCGGCGGCGGCGGAGGCGGCGGAAGCTGCCGCGACGCGCGAGGCGGCGAGGGAGGCGGCGAGAGAGGCGGACGCGAGGCGGACTGCTGCGCGGGCCGCCGCCGAGGAGGCGGAGCGAGCGGCGCACGAGGCCGAGGAGGCGCTTCGGACTCAGCAGGCGAGCGCGGCGCGCGAAGCAGCGGAGGAGCCGCCCGCCGCCACAGCGGAGGAGGAGGTGGCGGCGGCGGCACGGGAGGCGGCCGCTGCGGCGGCGCAGGCCGCAGCCGCGGCCGCGGCGGCGCAGGAGGCGGCGGGCGGCCCTCGGGCATGACTCCGGCAGGAGGCGAAGGGGAAGAGACCGCAGGGGGGGTAGGGCGTCCACTCGCGGCGGGATCGGCGAGAGAGGGTACTGGATGTGGCGGAGACACCGCCGGGCTGCGGGAGCCCCTCTGTCCCGCCGACGGGGACGCCACCAGCCTCGCCCGGGGATGGTGGTGGTGCGGCCGTCACCTCTCTCGCGAGACGAAAATCCTTCTTCCTTAAATGGGTTTCTTTGTGTCGTCATATCAACCCCAGGGTTTGGACTTTCATCTGCGGGGTATGGTATGGTACACTCGCGCAACCCACCTCGAGACCATACCCCCCGCCTGCTGACAGACCCAGCCTCCCGGAGACCGGGGATGGGCGGTCAGGACGGCTTTGCCCATACCCCGGAAAAAGTTGGAACCCGCGGCGGCCTGTCCCTGTGCCTCCGGCCGGTGCCTGCTTGGCGCGCCATATCGCGCCACACGACGTTAGCTCAATCGTCAACATGGCATCCACACGGTGGGGCATCATGGGCACGGGCGCCATCGCCAACGACTTTGCTCAAGCGCTCAAGACGACCCCCGGCGCCGTGCTCCACGCCGCCGCGTCACGATCGCAGGCCTCTGCCGACGCCTTTGCCAAGAAGCACGGCATCGCTCGCTCCTTCGGCAGCTACGAGGAGCTGGCGGCGGACGGCGAGGTGGATATAGTGTACGTGGCGACGCCGCATGCCTTTCACAGGGACAACGTGCTCCTCTGCCTTGGGGCTGGCCGGCACGTGCTGTGCGAGAAGCCGCTCGCCGTGTCGGCAGCGCAGGTCGCCGAGTGCGTCGCCGCGGCGAGGGAGCGCAACCTCTTCCTGATGGAGGGCATGTGGACGAGGTTCTTCCCGGTCGCGCGGGCTATCCGCAAGGCGGTGGCGGAGGGCGCCATAGGCAAGGTCGTCAGCGTCAGCGCATCGCTCGGCTTCAAGCTCGAGCCGTCGTTCAACCCGCGGCTGTACGAGCCGGCTCTCGCCGGAGGAGCACTCTTTGACGTTGGCATCTACCCCGCCCTCTGGATCTCGATGATTCTCGGGACGCCGAGCAAGGCGCGCCGCCTCCGCCACCTCCTCCGCCTCCGCCACCGCTCGCCGCCTCCGCCACCGCTCGCCGCCGCCACCGCCCCTGCGACGGCGGCAGGTGACGGCGCACGCGCGCCTGCTCCCGTCGGGCGTCGACCAGCAGACCTTCGCCACGCTCGAGTACGAGGGCGGCGCGATGGCGCACCTCGAGTGCGGCTTCACGGGCCCTCCTGCCAGACGACGCGAGGTGCTGTGAGTAGCCGGCACCTTAGAACCCTCATTGATGCTGCTGTGCAGGCTCGCTGCCAAACGACGTGACCATCGTCGGCGAGCGCGCTCTCTGAGTACGAGCGGCCGTCACTGCAGCCCTTCACTCGCACCTCTCCTCCTGCAGGAGAGACGGGATACATCCGGACGGGCAGGCCGACGCAGTGCCCCGAGACGTACACGATCGTGACGCGGCAGGCGAGTCGCGATTGCACCGCCCCCTCACACCGCCCTCTCCTCCTCCGCCGCCGCCACCGCCCGCCCGTGCTTGGCCCGCCCCCCGCCAGGGCGACGAGCCGGACCCGATGCTGCTGCGCGCGAGACGAGTCGAGGTCGAGGAGCCGCTCGACCCCCCCAACCCGGGCCTCGCGCCCGGGTACAACTACGTCGGCTCGCAGGGGCTCCGCTTCGAGGCGGAGGCGGTGCAGCAGGCGCTGCACGAGGGGCGGACCGAGCACCCCGAGATGCGGCTCGACGAGTCGCTCGCGGCGGCGCGCCTCTTCGACGAGATCCGCGCGCAGATCGGGCTGCGGTACCCGTGGGACGAGGACCAGGGAGTAGCTCGGCTGGGCGCCAGCCACCAGTAGGCTCTCTTGTCCCTGGCGGTACGGGAGGGGGGATCCAAGTCGAGAGAGAGGAGGGGCGCAGCCGCCCTTTCGTCACGGCAGAGACCGTCCCACGGTGTCGATTGTGTGTCGTCCCGCGGAGCCCGCGCCCCCCGCCGGAGCGCAGAGAAAGCCTAGTCTGTGCCTCGAGGCGGCGTCGCGATCCCGATCGCCGAGACCCCGAGAGAAGGAGAGAGGTGCCGACGACGACACGCGACGCGCCGCGACGCCCGCGAAGCGCCTCGAGAGAGACGAGGTCGCGTGGGCCATCGCGAGCATCGGCGGCCTGCCTGGAGGCTGGAGACCTGGAGTCCTGGCGGCTCCTGTCAAAAGCCGTATCTGTGTCTTTTTGCATCTTTCCAAATCTGCCCTCTGTTAGACCGGGTTTGGGGTTACTGTACTCGTACTCTGCTGTATAGATCGCGGAAAGTCTGTAGTCTCCCCCCCAAGACGCAAGAGAGCCGCCAGCTGTGGGATCCCCGGAAAACATGTGCGCGCATCTCTCTCCGACCGTTCGATTCTATAGGACGGCGACCGCTGTGTGTGCCCTTCTCATGAACATGTACTAGACCTTTTGAAGTATAGCAAAGGGGGTAGAACACTCCCAGAACGAGGTGCCTGATCGACTGTCACGGGCCAGCGGCGTGACAGGAGGAAGGCACCACGACCCCAGGGTGGGTGGGTGGGATACAAACAAGCCGACGGACAGCGAGAGACTGCAGCGCACGAGCTAGCACAAGCACAGAGAACGCTCTGCAGCTGAGGATCTCAAGTGTTTCGTAATCTCTCGAGTCGTTACAGACTCGGGGGGGGATCTGTCACCCGAGTGGCCCCAGACGAATTGGTTCCCCACAATATCAGCTCAATAAAAGGAAGGTTCTCCTTCGCTCCCTCTGATCCTCCTCGCTCCCCTCAAAGCTCGAAGAAGGTTCGCGTTCCCTCTCCGAGATCATCTCTTGCTCCCCCCCGCAGTGGGGAGCCATGTTCCATAACGTCGTGGGGGGTCGGACCCCCCCCTCATTAGCATGCGTTCGGTGCACAATATTCGCTGTATGTCGGCGACCTAAAGCTCGGCGGCCGTCGCTCGCGCCGGCCGACTCCCTGACGATTCGAACACAGCGGATCACGGTCGCTCCCCCTCGATCGGTGCTCTGGCTGCTGCGCGCTGGGTGCATCATATGGATTATGGTCAATGGTGATCGGACCCCTTTGGGCCGTCCCGTTTTGATCTCTCGGTGAGTGGGCGCCCGCCCGCCGCCTCTGAGGGGGCCGGGCCCCCTAGTCTGAAAACAAAAACAAGCTCGAAAACAGCCAAAATCAGCCTGCGAGAGAGGCACTGCGCGCCGCTGACCTCATGTGGGGAATGTGTGCCGACACCAATACTGATCTAAAACCTGGAAACCCTTGTTCAAAGCCGACCCTAAGCGCCATCCTTCCTGCTCTCACCTGATGGAGCTTCCCCGCGCCGCCTCCTTGGGCCCCCTCGGGCGGCCGCAAATTGCTCGGTACCCCCCTGCACATCTAAAGTATTTTCTACTCCCAGTGGGGTCCCGGGCCCCCGCGCCCCGGGGGCCCCCTCGCTTACCTTCTGTTTTTCAAAACGCCCGCCCGCCCGCCACCCCGAGGCGGCCCTCGGCCCCCCACTCACCGAGGAGATCGCGCAAAAACGGGACGGCCTTCGTGTCCTTTCATCTTTCCGAACCATCCAATAAACAGAGTACACGGGGGGCCCGGGGACAAGGCGAGCGATCGGCGAGCGGTCCTCCACACCGGACTGAGGACGCGCACGCGCCAACGTCCCGTGCGGCGCGGGGACCCGGGGTGCGTGACGCGGAGCAAGGGTGAGGGAGAGACGCTGCGGTGTGTGGAGGGAGGGGGCAGAGAGCAGCGGGCATTCACGGGGCATGAGGGGGGGCACAACGCACCAAGACACCGCTGGGAACAGGCACGCGTGCGGTCACGAGGGAGGGAGAGCCCTCCCCCGCCCACACATTTATTTGGCATGCAGGGGTGGATCGCACCTCCTCCAATTCGCATGGGGTGATGGCCGGGGACAAAGGGCAGGGGACAAAGGGGACAAAGGGCAGGGGACAAAGGGCAGGGGGGAAGGGGAAGGGGAAGGGAAGGGGGGGGGGGGGGGGGGCAGCGGCGGCGTGTGCGGCTGCAAGCATGGCGGTACCGTGGCGGTGCCACGCAACGTAGCTGGCGGCTCGCGGCCCTGCGCGCCAGCGAATAGGGGAGTACACGAGAGTGCCCGGCGCGGCGATGGTCCTCCGGCGGCTGCTCCTCCGGCGGCTGCTCTTCCGGGCTGCTCCTTGGCTCAGGCTGCCGTCGCTGCGGCGGCGGCGGTGCGGTCGGCCGGCGCCTTTGGCTCGATCAGGTGGACGGCGGTGACGTCTCCGAGGTAGGAGCCGTCGTTGCACAGCCCTCCAAAGACGAGCAGCTTGCCCTCGAAGGCGTCGGTCGAGTGGCCGGTCCGCAGCACGGGGACGGACGCCTCCTCGGACTCGGACTCGGCGGCGGCGCAGCTCGCGCCCTGGCCGGCCGCGGCGCCGCGCTGCCGGAGCGGGACCTGCGGCAAGGGAGGGGCACGACTCAGAGGCTGCTGGCTCTTTGTGGCTCCGCTGCTCCGATGGGGGCGAACCTGCGACCAGCGCCGGGTGGAAGTGTCGAAGGCGTGGAGGACGCGGTCGAACTGGTTGGTCGCGTACTCGCGCCCGCCGAGGACGAGCAGCCGCGAGCCGACCGACGTGATGGTGTGACCCACGCGGCCGGAGGGGGCGGCGCCGGAGCCCTTGATCTGCGGGGGCGGCGGCGGCGGGCTGGGGAGGGGGGGGGGGGGTGGGAGGGCGGGACCGGGCGGTGCGGAGGGGCGGGCGGCGCGATGGAGGTGGGCGCGGGTGCGGGTGAGAGGCTGCGGTGTGCAGCTGCGGTGTGCAGCAGCCCACTGCTGCGGGAGAGGCTGCGCCGCACCGGCCGCCAGCGGTTGAGGTCGACCTGAAACTCCCACAGGTCGTTGAAGGAGGCGCGGGTGGTGTTGCCGCCGAAGACGAACATGGACGCGTCGCCGACGGCGCACGCGCAGTGACCCGACCGCTGCGCGGGCGAGCGGCCCTCGGGCGCCACCCGGCTCCACTTGCACGTCGCCAGGTCGAACCAGTGGAGGTCGCTAAAGCAGCGCCCCGGCGCAGAGCCTCCAAAGACGAGGACGCGGCGGCCGAAGCGGACGGCGGAGTGGGCCCAGCGGGGGCAGGGCTGGTCGGCCCGCGGCGGCGGCGCCTCCAGCTCCGCGTACGTCTCCTCGCTCTCGTGCACGCACTGCCACCGCCCGCGCAGCGTGTCGTACAGCCACGCGTCGTTCAGAAAGACCGACTCGCCCCACCGCCCGCCAAACATGAGCAGCTGGCTGCCGACGGCGGTGAGGGTGGCCGACTGGCGCTGCACCGGCGCCGGCGTGTCGGACGGCACCTCCACCCGCCGCCACGCCCGCCGCCGCGCCCGCGGAGGCGAGCCTGGCGCCGTCGCCTCGGAGAGGGCGACGCGCTTGTCGAGAACCCACATGTCGTTGAACTCGCCAGCCTCGCCCTGGCCGCCGAAGACGTACATGAGGCGTCCGGTCGGGCAAGCCGCGCGGTGGAGGAAGCGTGCCTGCGCCGGCGCGCGGGGGGTCGTCAGAGGCAAGCCTCTCGCAGCGTGTCTGATTGAGTTGGGGTGGTGGGCCGGCGAGGGGGGGAGCGGCGCGGCGCAAGCAGCAGAACGGGCCCAGCGGGGTGCAGCGGGCGGGCGGGCGGCGGCTCGCGCGCACGCTGGGGCTAGGAGGGGCTGGGGGCGTGGCTCGCCTGCGGGACCTCCTCCTCCTCGCCCTGCACAGAGCGGGTCTCGCAGCCAACGACCTCGAGCCGGCGCCAGGCGATCCAGCGGCGCCTCCACTCGCCCACGACGTGGGACATGGATGGGCCGGGCAGCCGGCCGTGGCCCAGCTCCTCGCAGAGCAGCCCATACCACAGCAGGTCTTCCGATGCGATGGCACACATCCGCCTGCTGAGCGCACAGACTCGCGCCAGCATCTCAGCGCGCAGAAAGCTGAAGACGTGGAGGACCAGGTCGTCCGACAGCCGTAAGATGAGAGCACCAGTGGTCGACATCTCCCTCCTCCGGCCGCCAATCAACCACTGCAGCGAGCGCCTCGTCTTGACAACTTTGAGGCGGTTTGCGGGAAGCGCAGCTCGTACCAGGAGAGCGGGCGCTGAAATGCAGCGTGTGGCGAACTAAGCTGTGGGCCGCTGTTTTCACGGTGCTCAGACTGCCCCCCGGTTAAGATCTCGCGCAAAACTCTTTTTCCCACCTTCGAGTACACCCCCAAGCCCAAACCGCCCAGGATGAGCTCCTGAGGTGCCAGTCCGCCCGAGATATGACCGGTTGAAGTTGGGGTTCCACGGTCAGGATACTGACGTAGGGGTGTCGAACTGGATGGGGGTCAGCCAGGGAGGCTGTTGTGGCGCACCGGACCGCCCCCCAGCACCGTGCCCCACCCAACTGCATCCATGGGAGTCACAAACGGTGCTGTACTCGCGGGGGCTGCAAGCACTCACGACACTCAAACCCACCACCTGCCTCCTACCCTGTGTGGTGGCGGCGTGCCGTCCCTTGGGTTGTCTGTTTTCTTTTTTAAATTCAAAGATTTGAGAGAAAAGATTTGAGAGATAGGAAGAGGCAGACTCCTCAGGGTGGGCGACGGCTAGCGCATCACACACCTCTCCTTAAAATCCCTGTGTGGTGGCGGCGTGCCGTCCTCCCATCCCTCCCTTGGGTTGTCTGTTTTCTTTCTTTCTTTCTTTTTACAAAGATTTGAGTTGTTTCTCGAATGCCGCTATCGAAGTGCATCTTCTTCGGCGAAGATGGCTATCGAGGGGTGTGATGTTATTGCGCGACACAGTGATGGTTTCAAGAAACAACGGCGAACGCACAGGTCCTCCTCCTTGAACGATATCGGTGTCGAAAGAGAGAAAGCGGATACAAAACAAGTCCCAGGTTTTGAGAGAGATTTTGTCAGGTTTTGTGCATGTCACATGAAATAAAAAATCGTCTCAGCTCGAATTTTTTTATTCCCCAGATTCGGCTCTACCGTCCAGTGATCTTCTGCATGATGAGAGCGGGCTGGCAGTGCCCAAAAGGCGTAACAGATCTAACCGTCCGAGACAGAGCTCTGACACAGCACTTTTGGAGCGCGCTCGATTCGACTTTTGAAAAATCAAAATAATCGATAGCACCAGCCTGAGGGAAACCGCAGGGCGGGGACCTGTTCCTTTTTACCCATCTCCTAGTAGAGGTGTCCGTTTTATTTATTGATCGTCATCTGTCTGCTCTGCTGTGCTTCTCGCTCGTGCGTCCTTGGACTTGTGCTGACCTCCTTTCACCTCCTGCTCTCCTATGCCACGTGGCTGTGTGTGTTTGGGTTTCTATGTTTGCGATTTGGATTTTGGATTTTCCATTGCCACTTTGTTTATTTATTTATTTAGCCTGAGGGAAAGTACACATACACAGCACTGCCAGCTGTGGCCGCTGCTGCAGCAGAGCGCGCAGCTCGCACTTGCATGCGCACTTGGCTGTTTTCGCTACGCAACCCCAGAGTCCAAACCTGCACGGCGGAGGAGAAGGCTGCAATTGACGGCATATGAGCAGGCCGAGCCGACGACAACGAGGGCGTGCCTAGAGGCAATTCAGAGACTGTGGCGGTGTGCCTGTTTTAGCAGAGAGGATCTGGCTTTCATGTACCACAGCTCATGAAAGCCAAAGACGCTCGGCCACAGCGCAGGCCAAGCATTTGCGTAGATCTGTGAGCCGACAAGATAGGAGAGCGCCAGGAGCGCGAGCAGTGCCTGCTCCGTCGGCGTGAGTTGGGAGATGACGCTGCGCGGCGAGAAGAACGACGTGGCGAGGGGCAGCAGCTGGCCCAGCCCCAGGACGCAATAGACAAGCGTCTTGAAGTGGCGGCTCAGCTCGACTGGGCTCAGGGCGAGGGCGCAACCCACAGCGGCGCAGCTCGCCATCACCGCAATCACGGCCCAGTCGGACGGCGGCGGCAGTAACAGGAGGTAGAGCGGCGCGCCGCTGAAGGCGATCTGAAGGTAGATGCCACAGTGGTCGAGCTGGCTCGCGAGGTGCTCCCGCCGCTCCGTCCGCCAGTCTAAACGATGGTAGCACCCGCTCGCGCCGAGCATCGACGAGGCGCCAAAGCAGGCGAGCGCGACTGCAACAGTTTCCTTCCTCGTATGGCAGAGACGCAGCTGGTAGTAAGCCCAGATGGGCGTGGCGGCGGCCAGGCCGAGATGCATCACACCGCGGAAGAGCGGCCGTGGCCGTCCAGAGCAATAGTATGGAGAGCCGTGCTGCCCGTCGCTGTTGGCCCAGATGTTGTCGTCGTCAGCGCCGCGGGCGCGGGCCTGACCCACGATGAGCGCGATGTGGCGGTCCTTATGCGGAGACCCTCCTCCCCATTTTTACGGGCGAAGGGCGTCGCGTCGTGCGAGCCCCGCAAAAGGCATTTACGTGTGCATTCACAGCGTTGTTATTGAGAAGAAAATACCTCTCATGGCGCACGTGTGCGTTCTGTGCTGTACGAAAGTGTGAACAGGTTGGAGCAGCACAGCTCCTGAGCACGGCGCCGCAGGCGCGTGTTGATAGGTCCAGGTGATAGCCCTGGATGGGCAATGTATACGCTTAGTCGGGCCTCAGATCGCCGACCGCGTCCCGGTGCTTTGTGGTCGGATTTGTGCCGCCGCCGCACGGCCTGCACCGCGCCGCGGCCGGGGGCCCGCCGGAGGACGATGATGGCCGTGACGGAGCGGAACGAGCTCTGGGAGGTAAACAGTCAGTGTATATATTGTAGAAACTAACCATATGCACAATATCTCTCATTCTAGGTACTAGGATCTAGCTAAGCCAGTGAAGGCGATGGCCGATGCCGGGGCCGTCACAGCATGATAATGTCAGCTTATCCCGCCCTCACAGCAGCTTGATAATGCTTCGCCAGCGTGCGTCCCGGAGCGGTGGTGCGGTGCCGGACGGGCGGTCCGTGGGAGGAAAACGAGGGACAGCGCCGACGGCGCTCTGATTCGACTTTTAACTTCAAACAAAGACAGTCGCACGCGCCGCAGAGCGCGGTGCATGCCACTGTCAGGAGCGGATCCGTCAGTTAGTCGTGTTCACGCCGCTCGCCGGGATCGTGTCCCTCACAACCTGTGCAGACTTTAGTCCTCGACAGTATGTTACCAGGTCACAGTACGGGTTCGGGACGTATTCACAGCAGTATGAGCGCACGGGGCATATGTCGTCCGCACCGCGAACATTGACTGGTTTCGATATTTATTTATTGTCGCTGGGGAGGGTCCATTCTGGGGGGGGGGTTTACACACACACACACACACACACACACACACACACACACACACACACACACACACACACACACACACACACACACACACACACACACACACACACACACACACACACACACACACACACACACACACTCACACACACACACACTCACACACACACACTCACACACACACACCAGGGAGAGGCCGACGCGGTCCGGCTTGAGGAGCACTGCGGGCTGCGCCGGCTCCGCGTGAGGATCGGCGCGCGGCGAGGGCGGGATCTTGAATTCGCCGCGCAGCATATCGCCCCCAGGACCCCGCCCACCCCACGTCACCCCCCTCATTGGTCCCACCACCTAGTAAGTACCCCAATCTTGGCCTCGCACCCTCTCCTTGCGTGCGGTGTCCCCCGCTGTGTTTCGCCGTCATCGGGGCACGTTATCCTGTGCAGTTAGGGCAAGTGGGGGGCGGGGGGCACTCCCACCCGCGTTATGTATCCCTGCCAGGTGACTCTCCCTAGTCTCGGAGGGGGGCTTGAAGGTGAGAATGATATGTTTTATTTGAAAAGGATTTCAGCAAAACACTAGGCACTAGAGCGCAACTGTAGGCCCAAAGTTAATGTTAAGCAACTCCTAGACACGAGCTAGAGAGTAGAGTAGCGGACCGCACGACGGAGCGACTGCCGACTCCGCGTTGAGCGTTGTCCCCGTGTGAACGGCACTACGCGGCAGCTGGCCGTCATGCGATGCACTCTCATTTTCAAACCGTGGCGTGCCACATGCGCATCGCCGCATCGCCGCATCCGCGCATGCCCCAACAAGTTCCTGTATGTGTATCCTGACCCCTCGTCCAACTTGAGCCTCCACAGGCTCCAGGCAGCTCTCTCCAAACGTCCACACACCACGGAGCACGGTCTCTCTCCAGTTAACCTGCCAGTTTCATCATCATGGCTATAGTTCCAATTCACTCTGACAACCTAATCTTGAAAACGCGTCCAACGGAGCTATGTGTTGCTCCCAGCGCCCTCCCCCGCGCTTCCTGCGGCCATGGCCGATGATACTAGTATCTGGCTACCGCGAGAGCGACCCAACTCGCCGACATCGTCCGATGATTGTGCCGCAAAGTCAGCCTTCGGAGGCTATCGTGGGTCGAGCCGGCAGTGCCAGCGCTGCCGTGCAGGCTGCCACGACGAGGTCGAGCACGCTTCTATACGCTCGCCCAGCCTTCCTTTCCATCCCATTAGGCAGCCTGGGAACGGTGGCGGTCAGAGCAAAGCCTACGAGGGGTGGTGGAACCACATGTCACGGCTGGCGCGATGAGCGTCGTGCCACCTGACCCGAGACGGGTCGCAGGCGTCGTACCGAGCGCGTCGAGACCGTGTCCTGATGTGATCTGCACGGGTGAGTCACGTCGGCGTCAAAGGAGCGACGTGCGACCTGTCAGAGCTTGATCTCCGATCTCAGCGGCGTCGAGTCGTGCAGTCGTCTCCGGCGGCGACAATTTGGAACATATCCAGGACGCGCAGAGGCAGCTGCGATCCCGCTGAGTGGACGGCGTACTCCGCGCCACCTGCCGAGTACCGCCGTCCACTCGGCGGGGTCGCAGCTGCCTCTGCGCGTCCTGGATGTTCCAAATGGCGCATGGTCAACGTTTGACGAATCAAGGTTTTGTAACGCGAGCTGTGTCACAGTCGCCGAGTGCGAGTCGGAAATGGAACTAGCCCATGCCAGTCGCCGAGTCGCCGATTCTCTTCAGAGGGCGAGCAAAGAACTCTCCAACTCACACACACCGCGTATAGACTAAACACAGGGGCCAAACAAACAAACTCTCTTCAGGGGCCACTAAGCCCTAACTAACGAACACATCTCAGGAGGAGGAGCGGAGGGTCTCTCATGTCATGCCTGTGGGGGAGCACCGTGAGACCCTCGAAACTCGATTCTCTCCAAACACGTAGGATCATGCAGCAATGCCTGAGTCGACCCGCGCGAAACGGAGAAAGGACTCGCGTCCGCCTGCGTGTACTTTCGCCCGCGCTCGCGTTGCGACCCGCCGGTAGTCTAGGTCGATCACACCCGCGATCACCCGGTGAGCATGAAATCGGTCAGATCCATCGACGCTGCGACACGCAAGGCCAACGGGTCGGGGCGGGCCTCCCGCGCAGGAACGGCGCGCTCGGGCGCAGCGCACCCTTTGGCGACTCGGCCTTCGCCTTGGCCGCCAGCATGTCGTCCAGAGCGCCGATGACCTCCTCCGAGCCCTGGAAGGACACCTTCTTCTGAAGCTGCAGCGCAGGCAAGGCGAGCCGCTTGCGCCGTGCCGCCTAAGTTGCGACCCGCCCGATGGCTACGCCCCGCCTGGCCGTTGCGAGAGGGGGAGGGTGTCGCGCACACCAAGGCCTGCCGGTTGAGCACGGCCCAGTCGAGGGGAGGCCGCCCGGCGGCGGTCGGGCTGTTCACGCGCACACTGCGAACCTCCTCGGCCGTCTTGCTGCCCTTGCCCCCGCCGCGGAACAGCCACGCCATCTCGACCCAGCGTGCCTCCGGCTCGAACGAGTATTCGCAGGGCGAGCGTGGGTGGATTCCTTCGACCAGAGCCTTCCGCGCCGCCTGAGAAAGGAAGGCCAAAAGCTTTCGGCGCCACCCACGTGCGGCTCTCTCAGCGAGTGGGGGGGAGGGAATTTGTGCGATTCTTCTCCTACCGATGACTGTGTTGCGTTGTGCTACACCGATGGATGGTGTTGCGTTGTGCTGCCTTGAAGAGCCAGCCCGTCTGCCCGGCTTTCGCCTCGATCCATTGGTAGTCTGCTCGCGACATCGGCGTGGCGGCGAGGAGGTCCTTGCGCAGGAAAAGAAAGAAACCAGGCGAGCGCTCGTGATCGGAACAGAGAGTCGTGCCGTTGCCGCGTCGGAGGACGAAGTCAAAACGAGGCCAGCCAGAAGCGGGAAGCTCGCCAACCTTGACAGCCTCAGCAAAGCATTTCTCCAGATCGTGTTCTCCCGACAACAGGCAGTCCATCTTGCACGGTGCGAACGGTGCGAATGGAGAGACCTTTGACACAACGACGAGACTCGCCCTTCCCCTTGGCTTGTCTCGCTGCTCGAGTCACAGTCTCGTCGAGATGAGCTGAACCGAAGCGCGAAAAAATGGGATATTCGCCAGCCAATTGGGTGCCGGTCTTGGGCGTGGTGCGGTTGATGACTGCACTCCAAAGTGCTCCAAGGACCAAGGGGAAAAAATGATATGCGATGTTATGGCCCTGCGAGACACACACACACACACACACACACACAGAGAGAGAGAGAGAATTCTTGATACGAAACCACGACGACACACACCAGTCGACTCGCATCGGTTGCCTCCATGAACGGCGGAGCTATTCTCGCGCCCACACCACACCTGGCTCCAACGTGGACACGCCCATAGCTGGGGACACTACTAGGTCACGCATGGCGTCACAGAAGTTTTATCTCTGGGCCCCGAAAGGCATCTCTAGCAGTGTCGTTACACATGCCCCCTCCCCTCCTGGGCGCATGCGCCTCACGTCTCGCCAGAGCATACGCCCTTGGTGTGTGGCGAGACGAGTTTTTCGCATGCAGCGAGCAGCAAGCCGCCCGCCGCAAACAGCCGGAGGCCTCGCCGCGGCACTGGCTGCGCCGCGGTCCCGCACCCGTCGACGCAGCTCCCCCCGCGGAAGACCGCGCGTAGCGACGTCTTGACGATCGAGATGAGCGCGCTCGAGGCTCTCTCTCTCTCTCTCTCACACACACACACACACACACACACACACACACACACACACACACATGCATGCACAGACACACAGCCCCTTCCCCTCCCCCTCAAGGGCGAGGCCACGCGCAGGCCGCACCTCTAGTGAGGCCCGCATAGTATGTGGGAGACTCGTGCCGCCGCCCCTGCCACCCCTGTGTCAGTGTGCCTGTGGTAGCGAGAGACTGCCAGCGACAAGCTGGAGGCAGGTCGCTAGACTGAGATGAGACCGCCAGTGGATGTGGGAGTCCACCGCGCACCGCGCTGCGAGCCTGTCGTGTCCCTTGTCAGGAGCAGGAGAGCCCCACCTGTCCCCCTGATCGTCCTTCCAAAATCCTGCTCGTGCAGGGACGCTGGGGATTCTCAAAGGTATACCCTTGCAATGGCCGGATCCAGCCTTAAGTGTACGAGATCGCGCGCGCTTCGCGCACAGCACCGCCTGTTCTCCGCGGCTGAGTGACGACGCGTGCCGTGTGCCAGCAGAGTTGGGCGCGCGCGGCGCGACGGCGCCCGCGAGGGAAGGCGCGGGTGCAGCGGCCGCCGGCGGCCGTACCGCCCGCCAGCCGGCGCAGCAGCGGCCAGCGCAGCGGCCGCCGGCGCAGCAGCCAGAGCAGCCGGTGCGCGCCTTGCGAGGCGAGTACTGCCGCCCGGCAGCCACCAGCCTTGAGGCGGCCGGGCGGCAGTACTCGTTCGAACCGCTTTGCGAACCGTGCGCGCGCCGAGGCCGCGCCCGCCCGGCTGCCAGTAGGAGGCGGCGCAAATATGGCCTATAGTACAGCCCTTGAGGAGGAGGAAGAGGCTGGCTGGCAGTGCTGTATGCCGCCGGGGGGCAGTTTTGGGGTGCTGTCCCCATCCCAGGGGGCTGCAGAACGCGTCCGCAGCCGGGACAACCCGCCCCCCCAGCCGAGGCCGGTCGAAGCCCACTTGGGAGCAGCCATGAGGAGTCCTCTTGGTGCTCCTGGCGGCCGTTTGAAGGTCGGGCGCGCGCCGATGGGGGGGGGGGGTCTTGCTTGCTCCACACCGAGCGCCATCGGTCCGGACCGGTGCTCCCACCGAGGGTAGGCCTGCACAAGGTCTGAGCCGCGGGCGCTCGGCGCCAAGTGCAGTGTCACGCTCGCACGCGAGGGGGACACAATGGGAAATCCTCGTTTCCTATTCACTCGGTCCCCAACGGAAGAGGCCTCGCTCCTATTGGAACAAGCCAACATCAGATATTGCCTCGTGCGTCCCTTAAGTTTTGACATTTGAGCAGCAAAGCTATTTCTTTTGGGTCCTGTGGGCACCCTACTAACCCTACCTTTGGCTTATATGTTTTCTTTCTTTCTTTTTTCATGCAGAGCAGAGCGGAGAGGGGAGGCTGCTGCACACCGACACAGCTCAACAGCTCAGGTTCGGCACACACACACCCCGGGGCACCAAAAAAATCTGTTATACGTCTCTCGCACGGAGAGCGCGGCGCAGCACCAGTGCCACCAGCAGCGAAAAAAAGGAGCAACAAAAGGTACAAGAAATCGCAATGAGTTTAAGAAGTCCGCAAACCCGCGTGCACACAAGGTCACAACCAAACGGGGAGAAACTTCACAAGAGGCTGACACGTGACACCGCGGGCGAACGTTTATACTCGTTACGAGTGAGTGCCGCCGGATGGAGCTGCGCCGGAGTACAGGTGTGTGCTCCCTAGTAGTTGACTCGTGGGTGAGAGGCAGGGAGTACAGCTCCCCGCCCCGAGGGCTGCCACACGCCGCCGACGCGCAGAAGACGGGTTGGTTGCAGCTGATCACAGGTCAGCGGAGGAGAAGTGGGAGAGGTAAGTGAGAGGGGTCGTTCCGCTGGATTGTGCATGGGGTCATGGCGGGTCCATCACTTGGTGGCCTCCATGGCTTGGTAGGAGTACCAGACCTCGCCGAGGGGAACCTCGCGGGTGGTCACCTGCGGCGGTGGCAGCGAGGGCGGTGAGGCTTGCGGTGTAGCTGCGGGGCGGCGCGGGGCGCTGCGGCGTTCGAGGCCTTGAAGCCGGCGGCGCGCATGGCCGCCGCGACGGTGGCCGCCTCGGTGTGGATGAATGGGTTGGAGTGGGAGTAGGCCCACGGGTCGTGCACGCCCTTGACGAGGTGGAACTTTGCGGCGACGAGCAGGGAGCCGCCGGGCTTGAGCACCTGCGGACGAGGAGCCAGGGGGGGGGGGGGGTCCAGAGGCTTAAAGCAGGTCCGAGCGCGGACGGGGCAGGCGAGGATCTGTGTCTCCCTTGGGTGGGGTGGGGTGGGGGGGGGGGTTCCTGCGGAGGAATCCGCCCGGGGAAGGGGTGCAAGGGGGGCGGGGCAACACCGGGCTCTGGGGGGGGCTTCCGGGGCCCCGGGGCCCCGGGCAAGGGGGGGCCGCCCCC